CTTTTATCTTCTATTAATAACGTCTCTTTTAAATACAAAATTGTCTTTCTTAAACTTTTAATACTCACTTCCGCTCTTTGATCATAATAACACTTAAGAATTTGCGCACTTTTAGATTTGCAAAATACAGAATCTTCCTGTCAATTTGTGCAAAATATTCATAATACGTAGCTAATTGAGCAAGTATATATAAAGTCTGTTCTTTTCAAGCGAACTTCTTGCACAGTTTATCTTTCCTTTTTTTTTGTGTGTCAAATTGGAGGGAAAAGAATGAACGATATGCATAAAGTTCTGCTTAAAAGAATAGGTTTACGATCTATTGTGCCAACGATCTTTCTATTTTATTATTTCTCTCTATTTTGATCCCCTTCTTGCATAATGCGTGAATTCTAAAGCTAAAGTAATCTAATCACTTACCTTAAAGTCATCCAAATCAATGCGACTTATCCGGTTCATGCTGAGTGCCTTGGTATCGAAGGTACCTCGTTGTCTGCGAGACTCAAATACTGCGTACGACCCAGACCAGCAAAAACGTCGCCATCCACGACCCTGCAAATCGTGATAGCACGCTTGTTCATGGGTCCTTGACTTTAGCAAAACGATATGCGATATACGATAATCACGCGAGCGGCGTTTCCGCGCTTGTGTGATGTTTATTTTAAAGATCTGATTTTTCTATTAGCACCAAAGAGCAGTAGTATTTCATATTTTCCTCTATTACAACGTTGTTTATCATTTGTGTAGTAATACGTGACCGGAGCAACGAGCTGAACCAATGAGGGGCCCTGAAAAAGTGGCGACGCGCCAGACGTTATCGTTCGATTATACACTTAGTGTTGGCTCACTGCGAGACTCGTTATTTAATTATTCCACGACGGTAAACACACACAACTTCCCGCGATAACTCGCGCGAAGAGGTCAGGCACGATTAAGATTTCATTCTTACGTCTCGTCCCTTCTCCTTGTCTCGCGAGGATACTTAGCATTCCTATAAAAGAGGCATACCTATAGTCCTCAAGGACCGTCGATCTTTTTTTCTTAATGCGAGATACATGCAGCAGGATAATCAAGGAAGACTGGTAACTCATCCTTTGTGTCGCTCGTAAAGGATGATGGCCACTACGGGCATTATACCGAGGAAAGATGAATAATACAGAACGAGAGCCAAACGTATGGACTGGAAAACTAGCAATCGTCTCAGTCGAGAGCTCCTACACCGAATTCGTCGAGACGTATATTGAGACGATTTATCGCCTTTCTTCACCAATCTCCGTGATAAAACCATTATGTAACGATATCCTGCTTCCGCTGTATACTGGTCAACATATCACGCTTATTGTCACGTTTTGTTACAGCTTTCAGTACCTCTTCTTTCTAAAAGTCTAAAACTTTTAGAGTGAATCTCACTTTGAAGAGTAAAATCTCACTTTTGCAAATTAAAAATTGAGCCTTTCTTTTTCAAGACTTAATTTTCATTTTTTAGAGTGAGATTTCACTTCAAAGAATTTAGAGAGTAATAATACTGGAGCTGTATAAAAAAAGAACTCATGACGAATGCAGTCGAGAAACTTGCAGATGATTATAAACGAACGAATTATGGATGGACTATCGTATTATAAAGTGCCTGGAATTAACAATCAAGCTTGACGATTTACTGTAAGATTTTAGTGATAATCCACCGTTCACGGCAGTTTTCTCAGCGTACACCTCGACAAAAGTTCAAACGTCGGTTCAAACGTGTACGCAATGGCGCCGCGAACGCCTTCGCAAATACTCATTGTGGGAATTAAGATCGCTTCTTTGTTATACATATACAAATGCTTCCATTCAATGTCCGCAATAGCAGACGATGACCTTTTGCAAAGATACTGGCCGACCATATCGACGTGTGTGGCACACTTCAGACGGAGACTACGCGACGGAGTACGCGGCTACGGATGACAGACGTGCACCACGTCTCCAACATTTCGTTACCATTCAATTTGCCTGCATTTTTCAATCAACTTTCCAATGTAATAAATAAATAAAGGTCTACGAGCTTAATAGTCTATTTATTACAAATTTAAAACATTTTTTAAATTATATTTACTGTAAAGCTTAACTATTATATAAATTATCACAACTAAATAAAAGATAACATTTTGTACTAGGTCAACCATGTTAAAACTAATTAATATGTATACATAATCTAACAACCGATAACGTTGAGGTCTATGATATAAAAATCAGCTTTCAAACTTCATCAGAATTTTTCAATTTTGTGTGGAATTTCGATACAGATTATACTCCGCCCTTTCTGCTTTCTCTCATCGTATGAATAATATTTCGTCAATTTAATAAAATTGTTACGTAGTAAAGTTCCACGTTAAAAGACTGATGAGAAGCAGGAAGAATTATCCTTATATTAAAATAAGGTAAGCAGTTTTATGATATTAAATTGTTGATAACAATATACTACCACAGTTAAATAAAGGTCATTTGACTTTTCAAAAATATAAACATTGCTTTCAATTTTTCTATTTGATTTTTCAGTCGTTTTGTCAAATTTTCTGCAAAAAATTCAACTTGGTAATTGGCCGTTAAGCTTTCCTGCAAGTCCTATGTCAATCCATACTGAATTAATCCAGTATCTTAATCTTTAACTTTATTATTATTAAAAAAAAATAATAATCTAACGTATATAGCAAAAGAATGCTGATTACAGAAAAGTTGCTTAGTTAATGTTTACCGCACTTGTGAGAAATACAGATGATCTCCGAAACCATCGTTATCTCTACATAACTGTATACACAGTGGGTTGTAGTAACCGTGACTGATAAATCGTGTCATTATCGCGCGTCCCCCCATGATTCTTTACGTTTCTTCGTCGAAGACTTCGGCACTTCGACATAATCTTACTGTTCAAGATCATCATTCACGCATTAATAATTTTTCGATGGCAACGAAGTTCATCAACGGATCACTCGTTCCGTCGCACTTACCCAAGATGATCGTGATTCAGCTCGAGTCGAGTGATAGACATACGCAACTCCTTGAAATCGTGACGCGATATGTCGCGTAGATTCGAATGCGCCACTCGCAGGGTGATCTGCTGTTCGGGGGTGAATTTACCGCTCAATGCCTCGGCCAATTGGTCGAACGACTTCATCTTCTCACATAATACCTCAATACGCTCCCCTACATGATGGCCACTACCACCGTTTCCTCCACCACCGCCAGCATTGTTGTTCACGTTGGCGACTCCGCTAGTAGACGCGGCTACCGTCACCGCCGCCTGGTTGATAACGGGACTGGAAAACTCCTCTTGTCGGCAGGTGCACGGGCTGATCTCGCGGCGTACGGCGCAATGCAGACTCGTGCTGGCCGCGAGGCCAAGCAGCGTGTAGAGAATCCCGGACATGCTGTCACTTGACACGGGAGCGAAAGTACTGATTGCAAAGTATGATTATAGATGATTGTCAAGGTGATTGTACGCGATCAAACGAAAAATAATGACGTTCCACGACGTGCGAAACGGTGAGACCACCCTCTGCGCGAGCACCACTTTCCAGAATGTTCTTTTTCGTCTCTGCCACTCGGTACACTATGTACACACGATATTACAGATTTCACAACGGTAATCGTCCGATTTGACCGTATAACCATCTATTTTTCGTTAAGAAAAATACAAATGTTAGCACAATGTCATAGCGAGGAAAATTTCAAGCTGTCGCGGTGTTTTCGAATACCGCTGTCTACTGCCAATCACTGATCAACACTAGTAGGCGAAACCCAATACTGTAGCGACTGACAACCACGTGTTATCTGTACTGTCGCTGATCCACACCATCCTACGGAATATAAGTTCACCGTGCCTCCCTCTCTCTTTTCTTTCGCTCTCTCCTCTCCTTCGCAGTCGCGGGGAACGCGCGAGAAGGAGGTTTATCGTCGTCGCCAACGGGCCTTCCTCTTGGCGCCACGGACGCGGCGACGGCATTAAGTCGCGGCGCGCCGCGCGAGACTTACTTATAGTCGCAACCGAGTCGTCGCGTCGGTACCCACCGTGGCGCCGCACGCCTCCTTCAGCGAGGAACTCCCTCCGGGGCTCTTCTTCACTCTTCTTACGACCCCCTCCGTCGTATGTTACGCGCGTACACCGACGGGCTCATCTTCTTTTTCTACCGGCCGCGCGCTCACTCATCAACGGTCCAGCCCGGCCCGGCTTGGCTCCAATAGCTGCTCTCTCTCTCTCTCTCTCTCTCTCTCTCTCTCTCTCCCCCTCTCTCATTCTCTCCCCCTGCGCCTTACCACCACACCCCAATACTATGCATATTCTCGTTCCTCTCCTTCCTTGCCTCGTTGTTGTTCACCTCGTATACTCACTCCTCCTTCGTTTTTCTGCCGTGCCCCACAGCATGTTCTTTACTCCCTCGCCGTAGCTACCACGCTTACTCAAATCCGGTCCCCGGTAGGGGCCGACGCTTTTATTTCTTTTTACGTTTATCCAATTATTCCCGGAAGTTTCGATTGCCCAAAAGGAGAGATATCTCTCGTCTCCATTCGTGGATCCTGACTGAGGAAAGACGAAGGAGTTTGGCCAGGACAGCCGCGCTACGAAAGATTCATCAACCTCTCGTCTGTATCGTATACATGCCGCTAACGTTGTTTGCACCGATAAATGGATAGATTGCTCAACTTGTGACCTTTGCTTAACTGCTTCGCACGGTGCGCGACATGAAAGAAAGTATACAGATAATTCTTTTGCGCTCTCTTTCCCAGTCGCCCTTCATTGCGCTTTCTTCCTTTTTTTATTACAAACCGTTCATAGCGTTTCTTCGTCTTTTTGCGCATCCCTTTAATATAAACTCTCAATCTAAAAATCTATTGTAACATTATAAATAATTGTCGACTACGGCAGATGTGATTAAATTAATTTACACGTCAGAAAGTTATCCGAATTCTGAAAAATAAATCGAGTTGTTTTTATTTTCTTATCATATTTATGTTTATTGAAAGTGAGATTTTAGATTCGTAAAAAAAACACAAAATTCTTTTGGAATGTCATTTCGTTGGGATCGGTCGAGAAACAGCTGTTGTCGTTGTCATTGTCAGGTTTGTTAGAGCTTTAGGCTCAGCCGATTCATCATCGGCAATTATTAAAAGCGGAGTCGACCAAATGTCCTGTTTCTTACACCCGAGTGTATTTTGACAAGTGATTTATGGTTGTCGGGTGTTTCAGGTAGTCCAATAGCTTTCGTCGCGACACTTTCTCTTTTTGTTCCTTTTTTGTTACCCTATGTCTGAAATAGATATATAATCTCAATCATCATATCTTAGATATATACTTCGTTTTAATTGGCACAAATATTGATATTATTCGATGAAAAATTATTTTGAAACGTGGCATCGAAATTCGGAATGACCGAAATTATAACGGGGCTTTTTATCAGAATGTAAACGGTCGGAAGAAACGTGGTGCTTCCCCCCTCTCTCTCTCTCTCTCTCTCTCTCTCTCTCTCTCTTTCGCCGGTTACAAATTGGAGAGATAAATCCCAACTTCAGTTAATCATCGTAAGGAGAGCGATCCCGGGAGTTCAATCCCGGGAGTACGCGTGTCCGTGTCGAGATCGTAAGTGTTCTATCAAGGGTTTCTCTGTTCATCGTAAAATAATATCGATTACTTAATGAGCTCGCCGATGCGGCGGCGGCGCTTCACGGGTCGCTTGTCATCCGAGTAAACGCCTCTATCTATACATATAACGTGGCTGTTTACGCGCATGATTTACGTACCCATTTATGTGCTGTAACTCGCCAGAGGTATGTCGTGTAAATTCTCGAGCACGGCGCCACCGCGACTCGCCTTATATCCTCTTTAAGCTATTCCACATTGGCTGATCCCCCATAGTATCTATCTGTACTGGCACGCCTACAATTTACCTAATCTCTCCCGGCGTATAAAGGTCATCAAACTGTGAACAAAACAATGCGACGAAAAATATATAGCTTTAATTTTCCATGTACATTCTTCGAGAGTCAAGGGAAGACAAATTCCAACAATTTTCATCCCAAGAAACGTGATTTTATTTATTTCCCCGTCAAGATAGGTGCGAGGAAGTGAGAAAGAGAGAGAAAGAGACTCTTCTTTTTTATCCCGTTGCTGTCGCTATTATTCGTTGCGAGCACGGAGTAATACGGGAGCGAGGAAGGAAGTCACAACATATGGGAGATGCCAGCAGGCAAAAAAAAAACAAAGCAAAACGAGGCAATGCGAGGCAAGGCAAGACAAGGCAGGGCACGAGGCATAAGGTACGAGGTATGAGGCGGAGGGACCTAACTCCGTGCCTTGGTTTAACGAATGCGAGAATGTGGCCTGGCGCCAACGCACACACGACCGCCGCCGCCGCCGCCGCCGCCGCGCCAGCCGCCCTCGGCCACAGCCGCCGCGTCACGCACTCTCGCCTCTTTCGCCAGCTCTCTTTTTCTCTCTCCCTCTCCCCCCCCCTCTCTCTCTCTCTTTCTGTGTAATGACCTTACCGGAGTTCAAAATACTAAATTGTAACCGACCTTTCAATTCACGTGTCCGCCTCATGTTTGAAATGATGATCATATTTAAAATATATATCAGGATTACTTCCAAATAAATAGGAGTTAATTCGTTCCGTATCTTGCGATGATTTTATTAGATGTTTCTGTTTATGTTCCCTTAGAACATATCTCGATATTATTCTCTCTGGAGTATTCTATGTGTCCCGATGCTACAACAAAAAGCTTGATGATATGTAATGTAATATAAACGCGTGCAAAACTCTTGTAAACTGTTTACTCGGTTTAACTAGACTACTCAATTTTAATGATACATGTTTTTAAATGGCTTGTAAGCGATCTCTCACGTAGAGTTACTTAAAGAGTTATTACCGCAAAATAGAATAAATCTTAATATACATTACTCTTAATTTAATATACATTACCCTCTCTCCTTTTTCTCTCGGCGTCCGTATAAGTACATCGTTTCTCTCTGACGCTCTGCCTGCATCTGTGTACTGCATAGCTTCGAGGTATGCAGGCAAACTCCTCCTTTTCTTATCGAGAAAAAGAAACGGTGGAGGAAAGAAGCTGGAGGAGAGCCGAGAGTGGAAGCAGAGGAAGGTAGCGGTGCGGACATCGAGAGTATACACGATAGGCCTTTTACATGCTGCATTGAGATATTAGGAAATAATCGCTTGACGTAGGCGACGAGGACGATCAACGTGAAGATCAGTCTGTCCGCGGTTTCGGGGCTGCTGGATTCTTATTTCTAATGATGCATCATTTCTAATGATGATCATGATGATCAGTAGATTATTGTTCTCTGCATGACAATAAATCGATTCGTCCTTTTACTGCATTCTCTTTCCATTCTCTCTGCATTCTTTTTCCAAATCTTCTTTTTTTCTTTTCTGAAAAAAAATGCAGAATCTATTTAATTTTACATGCAAACGTAATCCTTCACATTTTTGTACTTTCTTTTCTCTATCATATTCTTGCGCAATCCTTGCGACACACACATTTTCGCAAGACTTTTTTTTTATCTTATATTGTGCAATAAATAAATACAGATTTTTGACAGAAAAATTGCAAAGTATGATTGCAAAGTATTATATCAATTTTGCTTTTCTTTTTTACCAAAGAGAGAGTTGTATTATCAATTTCTTGGAAGTTGCGATCAAGTCCGAATTATATCCCGTAAAAGAAATGTTTGTCTTCGCTTTTTCACGCTTCTGGCATCTGGTCTTTTTTTCTCTTTTTTTTTTGTTCTCTCTTTCTCATTCGTTCAGTTTACGCGGTGCTGCGCCGCGTGGTTGACCGCGAAAGGGGTAAAAGAGAAGATGTACGAGAGAAGATTAAGTTAAACACGTACTGACGATCTAAATCTAGACGTCGTAAAGCCGCGAGTTTGGCTTTTCTTCGCTTCTAAATCGGATCACAATGGAAACATTTGTTTTTATTCAAACTCTCATTCTTTAGAGGTTTACACTGACATTCGTTACTCTCATGATAATTGCAGTTCCGCTTGATAAATATCAATCGTAAAAACAATAAACGAGAAAAATGGTAGAGAAGCGCTTCGTTTAAACTTTTTAATTTTTTGCTAATTTACATTACTTTCCATTTTCTGTATTCACATTTATTCCAGGTAGAATCATAATTAAGTTATAATGATATCATAGGATATCATAATATCATTTAAAAATAAACTTATAAGTGACAAATAAGGTGTCAAGGTAATGTTCTTATGATGTTATTATGACTTCTGTTTTAAGAAACTAAATACAATAAGTAAAGTCGAAACGTTTCCTATATATTATATTTTAACTAATTGAGTGACACTCTAATAAACTATTTTACATTTGTGATTTAATTTCTTGCTAATAAATTGACCTTTCTATTACCGTTATTTACATTGCAATCTTGATTTTTATTTTAATTAACTTCTGTGTTTACTTGAGTATATATAGAAAAATATCATTCTATTGCTACGAAAAAAGATTACACTCAATTTATTTTCTTTCTTTTAAGTAAAGATGATACCTTTAACCTTAAAGAGAAAATATTTTCTTAATAGTAATCTTGAAATTGATTTTCTTGATAATAATTCTATTTGTTACAAATTAAAAATTCATTAGTATATTCATGATAAGAACTTATTTTCTTTTGAAATATATTTTTATCAAATGAATTGAAGAAACAACTTCATAATAAATAAATCAAATTTGTTTTGATTTAATAATCTTAATTGAAATTTAATCTCGTGCTGATCGTAAACATGATTAAAGGATTATTACTTAGAAATGTCATACATCCCCCGTATTCCTTGTCGTGGATATTCCAGACGACATTGAGAGCCTCTGACGCGTGTGTTTACGGGGATTTAAAACCGGTGCCATTCCGCCGCGGCCACGGTCGAATAATTCCGGCCGAATTTTTCACTTCCATCGCTCTTGCTGGATCTTGTTTTCTATATAGATACGGGACCTTTCGGGGTCGCTGCATTTCTCGGCGCAACATAGCGGAGAGAGACCGGAGGAAGATGAGCATCAGGGCGCCCGTTGTCGCGTCGAACAATCCAGGAAGACCTCCATATCGCGGGACCCGTCACTTCCTGCTCGTGATATCAAAATGTCATTAACATTTTTCCGATGAATATCCCAGTGAGTAAAACGCTAGCAGTTCATCGATCGGCTGATCCGAGAGATATTACCGTAGATTGAAAGATTACATCCGCGTTAATCTCGGATTCTGTTATCAGAGTCCGCCGACATAAGCCATGTCCGCCAATGTAAGATTAACTTTAATCTCGGGTTTAATACTTACTGCGTTTGACCAGAATTCGGTAGTCAGTTCTTATACATAAGATCGTTCTTAAGATGTAAACTAATTACGGAGCTGTATTAGCATCTCAAACACTGTTTAAGACACTTGAAAACAACCAATACTTGAAACTTAAGATGCTAATTACTTAAGATGTGCTTGTAAATTAAATAAGAAGACAGACTGTGAATATCGGCTTTTATCTTTTTCTTAGAAAAATATAAAGAGAAAATAGAACCAAAATTAAAGTTAATCTTGTACTGACGGAACCGGACCATAATCTAACAGCAATCTTGCAGCAGAAATCGAGCAAAAGTCATTCTGTAAACACTTGAATGGAATATATCATATTTAAATACGAAATGATTTTGATCAGTTTCTGTATTAAATTTATTATTGTTTTATCAGTTAATAAATTTTAATATACTTGTGCTGATAAGATTTGTCTGCTATATTTTTACTAATGAGATTTAGTAGCTAAGATGTTCAATGACTATAAAATTACATATTACATCATTATATATTAATTATTATGTTATTATATCATATTCTTATGTTGAGAATCTCCTTCACTAAAGCGTATCATACTATTCGTTAACTGTGAGATGCAATAATTATTATAAATTACTGCATTCGTAGAGCAGCCTATTGTATTTAAAATGTTTCTTTGTTCTAAAAAAACTGAAACTTTTGAAAAATTAATATTGTTCTTCTATCATTTAAATCATTCTTATACCCGTTTCTACCAATGTAAATTAACTTTAATCTCGATTTAACTTACTTTTTATCTTTTTTTAATAATATCTATTTTTATCGTTATAAATTAACTTTAATCTCAGTTCAACTTATTCTTTATCTTTTTCTAATTTTTAGAACTAGAGAAAGTAAAAACTGAACTAACCAAAATTAAATTAAGTTAATCAATTAGTAAAACATAAGAATTAGAAAAAAATAACAATCAATAAATTAAATCAAAATTAAAATTAATCTATATTGGGAGAAATTAATATTATGTAATTCATCATTTCTATCAATACAGATTAACTTTATAAATAAAATTAAACTCAGTTTAATTTATACTTTATCTTTTTCTAATTATCAGAACTTATCTTCTTGAGAAAGATAAAAGTAAGTTAAATCGGTGTAATTGATATTAATAGAAATGAGCTAATATCGCTAATATCGCTCATTTGCTAGAGTTATTTGCACACAAGTAAAAAAAAACAGTTTCCAAAAAATAAATCTGAATTATTAAAATTATAGCGTTAATTTTAAAATATAACTTTGGAGTATTAATTGACTTTAGAAAAACAAAAATATGTTGTTCCTTTTTTCTTTATGTTTCCGTTCTTTTTCTAAAACCAGCACCAAAATGGAACTAATTGTAATCATTCTGTTTTTATCGTTCATTGGACGTAAAATAAGAATAGAAATATTAAAAAGCGCTGAAAGCGTCCAAATCGATCGCAGCCATATTTCAATCATTTAATAACCTAAAATATCGAGAGTCAATTAGACTTCAGATGTATGCATGTTCTATGTATCTATTTCCTCCAACAATAATACGAAAAATAATCAAAAGAAATACTCAAATTTTGAATAGTTCGACGCGTTCACTTGTCCCTTTCAATAATTTCTCGAAAATCCATAAATGGTAAATCCGCGTTTCAAATTAGGAAACAACAAATACACAAAAGAACCAACAAAGGACCATCTTGAACCAATGCATTCTACAATGCAAAACAATCGTCGTGCCATCTATTAATACATTCGACAATCTTCGACATAATCATGTCATGCACAGCATATGGTAAACATTCATTCGATCTCTGTAGCCTCCGTTTCGCGCGGTAAATTTTTAGGGACTATCGCCGCCACGTGTTATCAGCATTGACCGCGTCGCCACTATCGAAATTGTCGAAAATGGCATTCTGGGTAACGTCGCGTCCCCCTTTGCGCCACCTTCGTTCGACCTGCGACATTGTGCGACGTAATGAAACTCGCGACAAGGGCCGAGCGCGAGAACGTGGTGACGGGTGAGCGAGCGAAACGAGCGAACGCGCAGTGAGCGGAATCGAGGATCAACAAACGTTATTCTACGTTTTTCGTTCCTTCTGATTCCACTTCTTTCCTCGTCTCGTTGGCCGAACGTGCCGAACGTAGTAGTACGAGAAGTCGCGACCCGAAGAGACATCGTGCCAAGACACCGTAGCCCGAATCTGTGAGTATCCCGGATATCCTGGTGCCATTTTACGTTTGTCGTCGCTATCCATCCGACGACATCTCCAAGTTTTTCATCGAAGCCGAATCCGCGTGCTACGCGCCCTACGAGGATGATCGACCTAACAGTCAAGACCTTGGACTCGCAGAATCACGTCTTCTCCCTGGAAGACGACGTAAGTCGCCCCCTCTTTTCCTGATTCTATGATCACGTGTCGATCGTCGCTGTTCGCTGCGATCGACACGCGTCTATAGCTGTGTCTTAGAAACATCTGGAGACAACTGAAAGAAACGTACACGGCTTGTTCCGTACACTTGAGTACTCCATTACCCAAGTGGATCTCTTATTTGCTTAATTATATAATGTATCTCTGCATATTCTCTCTCCCTTAAAGCAAATCACGGTACGTGGCTTTAAAGAGTACATAGCAGAGTCCGTCGCGGTACCAGCCGATTCGCAGAGGTTGATTTATTGTGGACGAGTACTTCAAGATGAAAAGAAATTAAATGATTATGGTATATATATATATACATATATATTGTACACACCTACTTATATAAATAACTTGTCGCAAGTTATATAGAGCATGACAGGTATGCATTGATACAATGTAATCTTTAGATGTCAATGGAAAAGTCATACATCTGGTACAACGTGCGCCGCCTCAGCCTGGTCAACACGGAAACGATGGTGGACAGACACAGGGGCAGGGCAGACAGGGCTGGCAGAGTTCGCAGAGACCACATTATCGAGTTACACGCACTCAGATGCATGGAAATGCGATGTATCTGGGAGCTATGTCTGTACCAGCAGAAATTGTTGAAGGCCATGGTAATGCTGATTTTTTTTTATTCTTTCCTTTTTTCATGTGTTCTCTTTTGCTTAACACGTGATTTTGGTGGCTCCCTCAGGTATACCGCAGTTGAGTAACAGTTTATCTGGTAGTAGACTAAATCATGCTGGTCGAATGCTCGATCGTGTGAATGAACTAATCGATCGGCTGGATGATCCTAGTGCCCCACCTCTAGATCTGCCTCCACTTTATCCATTGCCAACGCAGCAGCAGCAACAGCAACAGCAGCAACCGCAAGATTCAGAGCATCTCGAACAAAATGAGTGAGTTGAATGAGTATTTAAATTGTAAATTTTCTCGCACAACAATGACTGTGTTCAGCAAAGAAAACTGATCATTGAATGCTCAGTAATTCTTTAATATGATTGGTTCCTATTTAGATTTGCAAAGAATTAAAGGCAAAATCCAATCGTATTAAAAAATCTTAAGTGCTCACTGATCAGTTTTGTCTGCTGAACGCAGCCAACATTTATGTAATTCTTTAGGAACAACGACGTTTCTAGAGATGACGGTGCTAGACTCGCTGAGGCAGCCGCTGTCGTTATCACAGCCGCGTTGTCAGCTGCCGGGGCACGCGCAGTTGCATTGGCCAGAGGTTTGTATATTTGCGGATTTGATTCCGATTACTTTTTCCGAATACTTTAGTATAATTTTACATATTGTGGTGTCTCTTCTTTTAAGATGTGACTACTCGACGATTTGTAGACAGCAATGTAAATGGTGAAAATATTAGAGCTTCAAGCGACGCGAATGAGCAAAATGATGCACAATCATCACAGTCACACTCTCAATCACAGTCTCAGTCACAATCGCAGTCGCAATCACAATCGCAATCGCAATCGCAATCGCAATCTCAATCGCAGTCGCAATCTCAATCACAACAGCAACAACAAGCACACACGACTACATACGCGGAGGCTACATCGAGCATTCCTAACCAAAATAGACGTACTCAGCAGGAGTATGTATCGATTCAGATATTTGTCAAGTTAATTAGCAGACGATATACATATGATATACATATGATTATGTTAATTATTTATTTTTTAGTCTCCCGCGACCTCCACAAATGGCAATATTATTACAAAGACTGTGCAACACTCAAGAACGATTGAGACCATACTTGGAACGTTATTGCATGCTTACACTTCTCGATCCTTCGTTACCACCGGGGGTAAGTCAGTGATTTCGGTATTAATCATTAAATACGTTAAGACAAAATTTTGCTTTACTGAAAACTGACTAATCGTTGTATTTAGCCTGGATCGCAAAACGTTGAGGAGAATCAGAGAATAGTGGATGGAGTCAGTGAAATTCTACATTTTATGTCGCATTGCTGTCACGCACTGAGTGACATTATCATTGATATGAGTCAATCACCTCCTAGAAACTTGCGATGCCGACCGATAATAGTACAGCACTCGGCTATTTTACAGCCTGGTATTCCGATCCAGGTGGAGGTGAGCATATCGATTAATAAAAAAAATACACAAGAAATAAAATAATAAATAACTGATTCCGCTCCTATTTGTCCATATAATTGATATTGTTTCAACATTCCTTTTTTTTTTTTATTTTACACAGGCGCATATTAGTTTGAATGGTCGCAGTGCTAATAATAATAACAGCAACGATGAGACAACAGAATCTGGTAATCAGGCGCAATCGGATAACGTGGGATCGACAACTTCATCGCGCGTTAATACTGAGGAGGGTAATCAAGAGCGAGAATCCGACAATACGGCGCAGTCGCATGCAGAACGATCACAACAAGATCAGGGCCAATCACCTTTCGGTACGTTTCGTTATATTATGATGCGATTCTACAAAATGCTAGACGGTATATCAAAAATGTATATTACCTTTCTAGATACAGTATTCAATTTACCGAATAATGTTGAAGTGCTAATGGAAGTTAGTTCCGAGAGCAATATAGATGCTGGATCGAGCAATGAACAGAACACGTCAGGCAATGAAAATAACAACAACGCCCGTAAGTCGTGTATTGCATGACATTTGGCTTACTTAAAGAAACAACGCTTACCTATTCGACATTTTCCATTTTGTAGGTAGAACAAATGTGTTTCCGTTTGGCACGCCACCGCCGCCATATTTCATGCGAAACTTTATGCAAGCTGTTGCTGGACACATGGTGCACGGCGGTATTACTACTACAACTATAAGCACGAGAAATCAGCCCGTTACTACTGCAGGAACGCAACAAGGTATCTCTTCGTCAATGGACAGTGGAACCACCAATGCTGGTCAAAGCACTCAAGCACGGTATAATATTGGCAATATTGACAATATTTTTGTAACATGAAATCATTTTATGATTTATATGACATTATTTCTTGTTTCGAGTTATGGCCGCAGCACAGACTTTTGCATAATGCACAGTACATAAGAGAATCAACCAATCAAAATTTTTCTTTTCTGTGAAATGGGAGGAAGGAAGGAAGGTTTCTAATTGATTGATTCGTTTATGTATTATGCGTTATGCAAAAGTCTGTGCTGCAACCCTTAGGACCATTCCACACAAACGTGTGCATAATGAAAATCATCCAATCGTATTTTATGTTTGTCTTTATGACATAAATGTGATTGGATAATTTTCTTTATCCATATGATTATGCGGCTATGCAAGTTTGTGTGGAATGGCCTTTACTCTCTAAAATACTGACATCTAATAAATATTTGTGAAATATACAGAAGTAATTCGGGTACTCACCCTACCACCGCCACACAAACTCGAAGTACATCGCGACCGCACGTGTTCCATCATCATGCTCATCCAATGGGTCTCGGCATGAGTATCGGACTAGGCCTCGATTTTGATCCCTATCTTCCATGCAACTCGCACCATGTATACCGTTCTCCAAGCACTACTGTAACTACTGAGGCAACTTCTTCGCAAACAACACGTACGACGTCGACAACTACAGCGGACGCTCAGAATCAAACTAATCAAACTGGTAGATAATACGAGGAAAAATATAAAAAATATCAAAATATTTTTTTTTTGTAAATATGTATATCTACAATTAGAAAAATATTTTTAGCAACAACTTCGACTACGACCACCAGCTCTACTTCTGCGAACGTAACATCAACGACAAATGCAGAAACGACTACTAATAATCCCTTCGTGACTTTATTGCAACAGATATTAAGTCAATCGGCAAGCGGTCAATCGCAACCTTTACATAATAACGGTAATTTAAATATTATAATAACATGAACTTAAATATTAATCGATATTGACGTTGATCATGTTACAGTTCCAAATTTGATGGAAAATCTTGGGAATATAATGCAAATGGTACATGGTAACGTACATAATAACATACACGTAGGATTCTTAAGTGATAGGTACGTTAAATGATTAAAGGGTCAAAGAATCGTTCATTATGAATACATAACATTAATCGCGCAATTTTTTTCTTTTGACGATCAGTGGTTTAATCGGAAATCCTCCATCATTGGCCAGTTTGTTAGAGGGTGGTGGTCTATCTATGGATCTTTTTACGTCGCACGAATCCGGAAGAGAGGCGAATTTCCTCGTCGATCTCTTCGTAGTTCTGGTAAGTTCATCACTTGCAACTTTAGTGTTACTTATTACACGATATGAAGTTTTTATTATTCATAATACTAAAGAGAAATTCATCTCATATAGGCACAAAATACATCTCTAGACGGATTGATCAGAATACGTCTCGGTCAGTGGGGCCCCGTTGCTCGTCTTCGAAGACCATTGCAAGAGTTTCTACAATATACATTCTCGAGCGCCTCATCATCAGACGCCCTTCAAGAACAAGCAACTGAGCGTTTACTTTCTCAACTACGGCCTCACATTCAAAATCTTCTAGCGTCCGAAGAAGACACCAGCGGCAGAATTGGATCCCGCGTTGATCTTTGCGCAACCGTCGAATCGTTGATTGCTCGCCACGCAAGAGATATACTTAGAATCTTATTCGACACCGGTTGGTATTTTAATACTACGTGTTGCGTATATTTTAAAATCAACCAAATACACATATTGAATTTACAGGAATCGATGATACTAGGTTTGGACAAGACATATTGAGTATCCTGATGAACATGTGCAATCAAATCTGTACAGTACTTCGATACTCGCTACGCGGCGGCCAAGCTGGATTGGAGGCGATTGCGACACGTTTTATGGTGAGTCTTGATTTTAAATGTGAAAACTAGGGAAGAAATTTACTTATGTCTTCTACTAACGCGATTTGGTTGTTTTGGTAGCGTGACTTGATGGATGGTGGCAATCCTGCTCTTCTTCAATGGGTGTTGAATGGATTTATTACCCATCTTCGTACTTACTTTTTATGCGTACCACAGCCCCCGGATTCGGAGATCATACCGCTTTTGGTGTACAGGGATGCATCATCCCAGCCGTCGTCGGTATACTCGACGTCGACCCGCCAATCCACACAAGCGCAACCAGAAGATGAAGTAATCAACTTTATCCTATCATTTTTTTACCGTTATGATATAATAATATGATAATAAATATTTTTTATAAATGTATAGCCGATGGAAACCGAAACTCTAGAACAGCAACAACAGCAACAGCAACAGCAACAGCAACAGTCACCATGCGAAAGCTCCCTACCTGAGGACCGAGAAGAAATTCCGGAAACATTCCCTGGCCACGAAGCTTTACCTTCGGTAAGTCAATACGAATAAAAAAAAGAATTTATTGAATTTAATTTTTAATAACAAAAATTTTCCGTAAAAAATTTCTTAACACATATTTAAAAGTCTTAACGTTTCAATATAATATTTATTTGGCAACATGTATTTATTTAATAAGTTGGATATATATTTTCCTAGGATTGGGTCCCAATTATCGCTCGAGACGGTGTGAGACAACGTAGGCAGTTGCAAATGCAGGGTGTAACACCAAACAGCGGCGTGACGACGTTTAGCGACGCGTACCTAGGCGGTCTACCAAGTAAACGTCGCAAGTTGATCGAACAACAGAAACCGCGGTTACTAGTTAGCCCTACGCCGAATCATTCGACTATAGCAGCATCTATGGAACGATTAGTCAGAGAGGGAGTCGGTCGTGCCGGTGTCGAGGAGGTCGAAGGCGCCGCTGTGGCTGTCGCAGCGGATCCCGCTGTGCGTCGCGCATTTGGTCAGGCAATCAGGGACTGCTTAAATCCGTGCCGATATGGCACGCCAGATTTTCCGGATCCATTACGCTTCCCGAATGCGACCAAATATTTCGCAGATCAGGAACGTCCACCGAAATAATCAGCGGCGAGATATAATATCGTACTCTGACTTGTGTTATTAACTTAAAGGTGATACGTTAGGTATCGATGAATGAAAGTCGGCTAATGTCCTGAGAGAATCGACGCGCAAGGAAGGAAATCTCACGTGGACAATTACGTAGAAAGAAAAAAAAATATATTTCTTTTTCCCCTCTATTGATGGAAAGAGGGAGAGAGAGAACAAATGTATTTTTAACTGGCTGATCGACACGGTGCAGATGTATCTACATGTTATCTATATGCTCATATCAATATTCACTTTATTAATAGATTCACATTTTGACAGAACTCTTCTCTGGATTAAGTTCATAATTAAATAATATTTAGAATCCTCCTGAAATCAAATTTTCCATCAAGTATCAGTTCAAGTATCAAGGGAAATTGATAAATCAATTGATGTCAATTTTATAAAAAATTAACATTAATTTCGAGAAATCATCATTAATTTCCGCTGAAGAAATACAATATATATCCTGCGTATACATAAATGTAAAAACTGTTAACTGCGCACCCATCTAGTTATGATTTTTGCACCCGTGCACCTGCTAATTGGTCTGAATTCTTCGCTTGCGTAAAAAGATTTTTTTTCTATAGCCTGTCCCTATTAAGTTAATTAATCAAATTTTCGCCGTGACTTTAAAACAATCGTAGACCAAGAAATAGATCGAATTTTATACCTCTTTTTTTCTTGCTCAACACATGTTTGGCAGTGTTACATTTTATAAACAGTGGCGTTGTAAGTTTCGGGAAAAATTTTATCGCGCGCACGCGTATTTCATGCAGATAATTAATTCTTGCGAGATTCGACGTTTTCGGAGCGATGTCTTTTTATGACGTATGTTCTCTACGCGCGTGTCGCATCATAACAGGCAAATTGACGCGTACGATGCGTGGTATGATAACGTACTATATGTGAAGTATGTTTAATCGTTCTAATAACCAGTTGTATGGAGAAATGAAAAAAAAAACCAATAAAGTTGTGTATCCCTTTTCCTTTGTCTTTCCGCATCGATTTGTACCTCCTTTTTAGTGATAAGATCATGATCAATGAGTAATGTCGTTTGGATAAGTAATTCATAACACGATCGGGAATAGAATTCTCGTGGCAATATCAAGACAAAGGTGAATGCGGCTTAATACCAGAGATTAACGCAAAACACCCTTTTGATAGGTAAACAGCTTTTGAAGTAAGTAATTGTCTCCACGATAATTAGACATTTAGACGATATTAGAATATTTATGGAAAAGTAAAATAAATTAGAGATTAACGAGCCACATCATTTCATTAATCGTCTATTTTATTTATTTCTCATCTTTTTCTCTAATTTCTCGTTAATTTATCGAATAATCGAAGTCGATTACAGAAAGTTCAAAGAAATAGATGGTATCGCTGTCTACTGCTAGGTACCATCGTGGCACGTAACATCTGTAATACGTAAGAGCAATCAGTTATTACACGCATGACTGACCATCACGCTCGCCGAGGAATCGGATCGCTTTACGTTCGGTTCACCTCCGCGAACCCGATACTGTCGATTAAATTTTCATAATCGCACGAGTCAAGGGAGAGAGGGAGGTCGTTTATCGAGATGGTAATCGTATCGAATTAGAAAAGGGATAGCTAGCAATTTTTAACCCGTGGCTACATTGTCGTCGTCACTTCAGGGCGACATTATTATTCGAATTCCGTTCGAGTGCGGGGCTGTTCATAAATCCGATTTCGAGTATCTCTGACTAACGAGGACAAATTTCACTCGATTCCGCGGTAATCCTATTTGCGCGCGCGCAATCTGGAAAAATCGGGATTACGAAAATTCCTGATCGATAATCGTAGTGTTTACAGAACGGCAATGAAAACAAATGTAATTTAATTTCCGCGAGAAACGTACTGCGCGTTTATTATCGCGGTCACTCTCGAGAACTCTTATATAGATCGATGAGATCAGATTCCGCAGCGATTCCATCAACCGTGCACATGTGTTAAGGTAAAGCGGTTCTTTAATCATCAGCAGCATTACATTGCGATCAAGCGATACGCGAGCGATACGAAGCGAGACTTTATTCGCGACGACAACAGAGGCCATTCCCTCGGCCGTCGAGCGTAAGCTCGATCTTGCCGCGAATTACGAATTACAACGTAACGCCGTGTAATATCTTCTTCCGCGGGAAGAGAGAGAGAGAGAGAAGAGAGAAGGGGGGGGAGGGGGGAGAAAGATCGTTATACACGCTCGACCAAATGTTCCCTCCAACTCCCGACCGACCGTCGTCGAACCATAATTTCGAGAAACGATCCGGAAAGGAGAGGCGTCGGTATTAATTGGTCGCGGACGAGGAACACGGCTGACGTTCCTCAGTTTCTTCGAGGGTTCGTTTTTTTTTTCCGCTGCGAGGCGACGGAAAGACGACGGAAGACGATGACGACGGCGATGTTCCCGCGTCGCGACTCGGCGATTCTCCCTTGCCGCGCTTGGAGCAGAAGAGACCAACGGGAATACAGCTTCCCTTTCGTCTCTCCTTCTCTCCTATCCCCCTCGTCATTCGCCGCCGGGGTATATCCTCGACCGCGTATACCGCGCTTACACCACGTACCGCGCGTATACCACGTCCACACGTACGTACACGGGCGTACACACCGCGCGGTCGTCGGTCGAAAGGCTCGCGGGGGAAGAGCGCGTAGAAAGGCATAATAAAGGCAGGTAGAGAGTATACGATATCCGCGCGGACTCGACGACCAGCTGTCGGCCGCGGCTTGCGACAACGTGCGCGATTGGTCGCCGGGCCGTCGTTCTTTCGATCGGATTGGTCTTTTTCGCCGCTCGACGACGCCTCTTTATTCACTATGGGGCGTCGCCGTGTATTTTTATGCACGCAGGTTGGCCACGTCGCATCGAACGCGATTCTTATAGGCGCACTTGGCGCGTCTCCCAAAGTCTTCAAGTCGAGCCGGTCCGCGCGGATTCCGCCGTTCGTTGCTGCTGGTGCTTAGCTGCTGTTGCTAGTGCTGCCGCCGTCGCCGCCGTCGTCGTCGCCGCCGCTGCTGCTACGAGGCCGAGGTTAAGACGCCTTGGCAATCAAGTAGAACCTCGAGCAAGCAGGGCCGGTTACGGCGCGCGGCGTCGCGTCGGTATATACACGAGTAAAGAAAGAGAGGGAGAGGAAGAGCGAGAGAAAACGTGGTACACGAAGGCGGCCATATTTAGAAAAGGAAATCAGCGAAGAGCATTTCGCGCCGCGTACCACCGGAGCTAACTCTCTTCTCCTCTTTTCTCTGTGACCCTCCATTCCACAACTACGACGACGACCACCTTATCGTTTCGCTCTCGTACCCTCCCGACTCTGGTTCGATCTTCTACACCGGGAGCTCTTTCCGCAGCCCGCGTCGTTCCAATGGATTTGACAGATGAAAAGTAACAGGCCGTGTCTGTCTCTCTCTCTCTCTCTCTTTCTCTCTCTTTCTCTCGCGCGCGCGTACCGATACTTCTCCACCGAGGCGAATATATATTAACGGAAAGGGGTAAAGGAGGAAGGCGCGAATAAGTCATACGTACTTTTCTTTTTCGCGTGTAATGGCGTCCCGGCGCTAATGACGATCGTCTTTCTCTTTATCTACCTATCCCCTCATTCTTTCAATCTCTCTTTCTTCTTTCCTTCGCGCGAAACGCGAGAAAATGCTTGCAAAATCTTTTTTTTCGCGCGTACCTATATACGTACACACGCGCGAATGTCGATAGTGTGTACCTACTGCGCGCGTAATCACGCGCGGATAGACGGCTCCGTGGCCCGAGTTTTCCGAGAGCTTTTTTGCAGTTGCGGAGCTGCTTGTTGTCGAGTCGACGAAGCACGAGAGAGACGGGGAGAAAGCTCGAGAGCTTTTTCCGCGTCGCACCTACACGGTATGTAACGTGATTTCTTCTTCGCGATCTCTTCTCTCTTTCTATATGTACACACATGCATATGCACGTATAGTGAGAGGGGGAGGGGGAGAAGAAGAGCGCGAGAAAGAAATCGTGTTATATGCCATATATGTGTACACACACACGTACACACATGTAATATACACGTTTTAAATTTCTTGCAGTGAAATCTCACTTCAAAAAAAATACGATCACTCTTCTTGAAAAAAAAGTGACCATTTTCACTCTTTTTAGAGTGAATTTTCACTTCAAACGAGTGAAATCTCATTCCAAAAAAATGACATTTCACTATGAAGTGAAAATTCACTCCAAAAAGAGTGAAAATTGTCTCTTTCAAGAAGTGAAATATTTTCAATTGTTTTCAAGGGTAATTGTCTTTTCACTTTCTTAGAGTCACTGCAAGAAATTTAGAATATACTAATTATTATCTGCTCTAATTTATTTGCTTTCTTTTAAAAATATATATTAATACTTCTGAATCTTAAGTCAGAAACATAGAAAAACATAAAGAACCAAGACGTAAACAATAAGCTCGTCATAGTTGAAAACATAAGGTCCTCTCTATTGTGGTTGACCAATTTGCTTACTACTTACGTCTTACTATATTTTTTTGTTCCTTCTGGCTTTACTTTGGATTATGGTGATTCTAGCGCTTGAAGGGACTTATCCCAGTGCATTATATAAATTATGCTTTTTCTTTCCCTTTTTCTTTCTCGCTACCATTCTTCCGTTTTTGATACGCGAACGCACAAGCTTCCCTCATTTTCATAACATCCTATCCGGATCGCAACTCTGTCATTTTCTCTGTCAAACTGCGAACGTTTTCGACGTATTCGATTCGAGTCGGCTACACTTTTGCCAAGAAAAGATCGACTTGGAATTGTCTGAAATATTCGCGGTTCGTGGAACGTGCGCTTGAGAAAGATTTTTGCACGCCGTGCATTTAGAAATGACAGATTCGAGGCAGGGATTTCGAGCGTGACGAAAGGAAAAGGCTCGATCGATCGTCGACAGTTTCGTTCGTGCGGTCCCAAAGGAAAGAATGATTCCGGGAACGCGGGAAGCGACCAAATCGGAATTCGCGTCGTCAGGTCGTCAGGTCGTCGCTTCGCGTTTGCACGCACGCGCGCATGTCGAGCGACGTTCTGTATCTCGCGCCGATTTACGACCGAGCCAATTGGCAGCCGTTGCAACCGCTCGGAATAATGCCAATTAACACGTTTTTCGACGAGTCAACCGCTCGAATGCGCGCTCGAAAGCGAATGGATGGTGGCGCGTATCCGGTTCACCGACGAGGGGCGCGACGAACGAAGGTTCTTTGGCTCGAAATATTTTCCAGGACAAATCGTGCGTCCAAAAAAAAAAAAGAGAAAGTACACAAGCGTATCATCGTTAGAATTGAAATCATGCGTTTTTAATACTAGAAATGATGATATCATTTTAGCCCGCAAATTATTTCAATTTTTTTTTGCATTAGATAGACTGCAGAATATTGAAAATATGTGAATATAATACAAATAATTCTAATGACACAAATAATACCAAAGTGCCATTTTTGATGCCACTAATAATTTCAGTTTTTTTTCTTTTTTGCTAAATGTACAGTTGGTTTCACAGAAAGGTTGCAATACTTTTTTTCGATGGCTTTCGAAATGCAGTCTGTTCACCGGAAAGATTGATACAGAATATTGAAAATATGTAAATATAATACAAATAATATCAAAATAATTTTTCATTCACCGAAAACAGAGATAGAAAATTATCAAATTAGCATCTTCGGCAGTTCTGTCATCAGTGATTCTATGATAATATATTTTTTACAATCACATTGTAAAACATGTTTGACTAGAAACACTTTGTCTAGATTCATCATCGGACAAATGGTTTGAAAGAAAGTCTGCAGAATTTTTTCTTTTTATCTATTATCACGATAATCTACGATACCGATATACGATGATTTTTGCGAAAGTGTTGGGAATCGATACTGATAACTACTCGCGCGATTGAAAAAGTATTGTGCTCTCAATACCGATAATTAGTGTACAAAAGCTCGAAAGTGACGAGTGACTGATAAAAAAAAGATCGATAAGCTCGATAAACGAGACGTTCTCTTGTACTTACAAAACTAATCCCGTTAAGAAAAAGAGAAGAACGTGTTTCGAGCGTGTATCCAGAATGAACGCCGAGTCGATCGAGAGCTCGGTTATAGAAAAATATTATGTTTTGTATAGCGGGGGCGATAACGCTAACGATAAAGACCGGCGGAATTTTTCTCTTCGGGCGAGATCCGGACGCATTCCCGGGAGTAAACGAGACGCGAGTCATTATCGCGCCACTTAGTTTTGCATCGCTTATACGCGGTTATCTTTTTAAGTCGTAACATTCTTTATTCTCAGAGTCCGTCCGTCCGAGCGGAATGTCGATAAGGCGTGAGATAATGAGACAGCGGCGTTTTCTGCCGAGCGCACCATTTTGACAGTACGACCCGATAATAGTGTATCCCATACAGCGTGCACCTATCTCGAACGCGATAATGATATCCCAAAAGTATATATATAAATATGTATAATGATAACGACAGCAAAGAGCCATGAACACGTTCACAGAAGTGAAAGAGGAATGTAAAGAAGAAAAAAACAAATTATCGATATACCTCTTTAGAAAAGCATTACATAGTAATCTGTTTCGAGGTTTCAACATAGTTCAGTCGACAGGGACGAAGTTATTCTTTTTTTTCTTATTTACGTATTTTTTCTCTCAATGATTTAGTTTACACTGTACGTTTGGGCCGCTAGGTGTCCTTGTTTAATCTATAGATTACATCGTGTGTAGGTAGCGGTCTAAAACGTACGGTGTAACCAAGCCATTGTAGACACAGTATTGTCCTTTAGTCTCTTTCGTTACGCCTATTCTTCTAATTGTAAAAGGTTTTCAGTATAATATGTCTATTTACTCTAAGAGTATGAATACTCTTTATTCTTTTCAATTTGAAGTTACATTTATTATACTATTTTAATGCAAGTGTGACGGCTCTTTAATTTTTTGTCAATCGATATATCTGTCTCACATTCAGTTATTTCTTTTGGAAGATACTTTAAAATGTTTTAAATCTTTCTTTTTCTGTAGTGTCCTTCGTAAAACTCCTATAGAAATTATCATCTTACAGAAATTATCTTACCAAATTGAAATTCTTCTTTTAATCTTCAGGAACATATTTTGAGAAGTTGACTCAGCAGATTATATTTGCTTAAAACACGTGCAAAACATGCTTTACGGTCACCTTTTTTTTCTCTTTCAGTATAGGAACTGTTGCATTTTTTTCGATGAAACTCTTTTTGAAATACGGCATCACGTGTTGTACTGAGAGAAATGTTTTGGTACGTATAACCATTTATTTTGTTGATATTTAACTAACAAAAACTTTCTTATATTTTCATTTAAAAATTGTGTTGTTCTAATTGTTGGAATAATCAAATTTTGATTAAAACAACAATTTTTGTTTAAATAAAAATAAATAGTTACACGTATCAAACATTTTTCTCAATGTATTTTCTTTTTTTATCTTAGAGCGGAAGCACAGAGTTTTACATAATGCATAAGAAAATGAACAAATCAGAGTCCTTCATTTTCTTCTTTTTTTATGAAATAAAAGAGTCTAATTAGTTGATTGCCTTATGCATTATGCGTTATGCGCAAGAATCTGCTCGTGCCCTTAGATTCTGCATTCTTTTAGAAAATTATAGATTCTCAAACCGTCCCATTATAAGCCTCTCGTACGTCTCGTTCGAGCGCGTCGATAAATTATCATTTGAATTCTTATATCTTCATTGAATCCCCAGGTATACTATACTTTTCTACGTTCGGACACCGAAGTCTCATAGAAATCTCGACGAAAAGGATTTCCGTTAAGATTCCGCCAACGTTTTTCCTCACCACGGGGCTTCTTGCGTTCGCAGACATCCCGCAGGTTTCAAACTCCGACGGAACATTTGTCGAAAACAGAAATATTTCCCCTTCACAGGAGAGGAGCACGTGGAAGGCGTACCCGGGCGACACCTAGCGTCCGAAAGGTGGCGGGCCGAACGTTCCTTGGCGGCGAGTGACGTCGGCGACTGCCCCGACGCGACGGCGACGGCCCGGTTCAGTTCAGTTAACACACGCGCGTTGTCGGGTGCGCATCGTATCGTGTATATCATCGTTAGGGAGTACGTCGACACGTCTTGACTACTCTCCGACAGTCACCGAGCCTCTTCACGTGAGGTTCCCCTCCGTACGTGTCGTACGTGCGTGTGTAGGAACGCCGTACTCATGCGCGACTCGCGAATACTCCACGTGTAGTCACCATCCGCGCGATTTGTGAATTCCAGCGCCACGCCGAGGCGGATCATGAGTGCCAGAGTGAATTGACCCTTCCTCCTACTCCCCCCTCCCCCTTCTATCAACTCTCCCTCCCCCGATTCTCTGTTTACACGCGCTTCGCGGCTGTGATGTGCGACGGTGAGAGTCTCGCTCTTCACGAGGCGCGGTAGTGACGTGTGTGACGGAAAAAAAAAAAAAAAAAACTTCGGATACTCCAGCTATGTATCCCGGTGCCAGCATGAACGCGGCGGCGGCGGCAGCTGTGGCAGCCGCAGCTAGACATCCGGTACGTATGATTTCTCAATTCTTATATTCTTTACCGGGGAAAAGAGATGAAGACGTTGAGATACGGAAAATTTAGATTGCGTTTCCCGCGAAGGAAGAACTTCCCCCGGAATGTCCCCATGAATGCTTTTAATTGTTCGTATGATTTCTCCCGCTATTTCCGAGAGGAACAAAAGATTGTTTATTTGAATATACAGGAAGTTTTCTCCTCGCAATTTATTGTGAATTTTTCAAGCGTTTTCGAATCAATTGAATTGTTCGTAGAAATGCCGAGGCAATTTTCTAAGGCCCGACAATTTTCCAAGGCTCAATTATATTGATTTCTATTAATTTTAATCTTGATTTAACTTACTGTTTTTCTAATTTTTAGAATCTTTCTGGTTAAATTAATGCAATAAGACCTTTCCAGTGTACAGTTTCGTAATTATTGTACAATCGTTATCAATCATTAAATTAACATTTTTAAATAAATCAATAAAAATTCTTTCAAAGTAAAGGAGAAATGATTGAAGAAATTTTTGTTTAATTAGAAAGAGAGAAATTGAATCGAGATTAAAAGTTGATCTCACGATGGTAACTTAATTGTAAACAATTCAGAATTAGAAGATCAAAATAAAGAGTTTTGTAAAACAAATAAGAATATCTTTATATCTATAGTTATAAATTTCTCCTTTATTTTGAGAGAATTTTAATTAATTAATTAAAAAATTGTAATTTAACAACTGATAACGATTGTACAATTATTACGTGAATATATACTGGACAAAAATTATAATCATTCAACCAGAAAGATACAGACACTTATAGTTAAATCTATTAAACGTTCCAATTAATTGCAGAAATTTAATTACAATAATTAAAAATCTCATTTGTATGATTAGAATTTGTTTTGTTTGTATTTGTTGAAACAACCAAAACATTTTTCTCGATACAATATTGAAAACTGGATAGTGGCGACAAACGATGACCAGCAAAAGAAACTTGTAAGTGGTCAAAGTAAAGTGTATTTCGAAAGAAACGCGATTATCGAAGGACATTCTACGTCGATAAGATAAAGTCTCGTATTTCGAGTAATTTGTGTTATCTATGTACGAACTGAACGGAGAATAAAGTCCATTTGCAAGCGCCATGTAAAGATTATATGGCAAGAGAAAA